TAAAAATAGGTGTAAATCTCATTAACATCGACTTCACAGAAAAGCAGGATGGAGGTGATAATTGAAACCCGCCATCAGCAGCAGAAGCAATGAAACACTAGACACTGCCTTCTCTCATTATCTGCCACGCTATAGTTCAGTCCGCTCTCAAAACACTTCACATTCAGCTCATTACATCAATAATTCACCCAAAATGAAAGTGCTGTCATCATTCGCTCACCCTCATGTTGTTTCAAACCTGTATGATGGTCGTTCTTCAATAGAAAACTAAAGGAGATGTTTAACAAAACGTTTCAAACACTGAAAATCAATGAGGACGGATAAAAGCAGCATTATAAAAGCAGTGTTTATGACTTGAGCACTTCAGAAGACCTGCAATCAGCATTAATATACTATTAGAGTATTTATTATTATTTTGAATTAGCTTTTAGTTTTATATGTTCAGTTGTCTTCTTAATTGTATTTCAAGCTTTAATTATTTGTGCATTTGTTTCATACTGTATGTGCTTTTGTCATTTTTATTAGTTTTTGAGGTTTATTTTACAAAATGAATATAAAAATATCAATATATACACATTAAAACAGCTTTTAATTTTATACCGTCAATTTTCTTATTTTATTTTATTTAAAGTTTTAGATTTTTTTTAATAAAAAGTTTTAACGTTTATTTTCACTTGTTTTATACATATGCCATATTTTTGTGAGTAAAATTTCAACTGAAGTTTTCTAATAATTTCTCATTTCTAATCATTTTGAACAAGTTTTAGATTTAGTTAACAATACTACCTACAATATGTCGCACAAGTCAAACGGTTGACTTTTATAATTCTTTTTTTTTTGTCATTTTATCTCATCTTTGGAGGTTGAAAGTGTCTGTTCTAAGAAAAAGAAACAGGAAACATCTTTTGTTTTCCACAGAAGAAACAAAGTCAAACGGTTTGAAATAGGGCTGGGCGATATGGCAAAAAAATTCAATCTCGATTTTCTCAGAACATTTTACCGATTCTCGATTTTGTACGATTTTTAACTAGTCAACTTGAAAATGTAACTTACAACACAATTCAAGTAACTTTTTCTTTATTAACCCTCTAGTTAAAGAATATTCTATTCCAAGTGCACCACACATTAAGTTGTAATCATGATGTAAATGTTAAACAAATCACTTGTTAAATATCTTCGCAGAAAAGACGCATGAACTACAACTACATCCTGTACAAACTTGTCTTATACATATTATATGTTCAGAAATAATATGAGAAAAATGCTTTAAAAAAATCTTAAAAGTCAACGTAATTCAAATTCAAAATGACTGAAGGTATAAGACCAGTAGACGATTATTAACTATAAATGTTCTGTAAAAACAATGAACAGCAGCTTTTAGCCAAACATGAAATATCAGACATACAGTAGCAGTTCTTTACAGGTTTTTTTATTCGCTTGCGCTGCTTTTCCATTTTTTTTCTATGTAAACATGGACGCGGTTGACTGTTGCGTTCGCATCTCTTGCAGCGTCTCATGCATGAAACGGCATTCTAAAAACGCGGCGCTCTAGCTATTAAAAGATGTTCAACTCCCATCTTCTTGCATTTTTTTTGCTATTCCACTGCCCGCGTCGCATCTCTGTCAACACAAAAGCGCATTCTGTGTGAATGGCACCAAGCGATATATTCTACTTATGGTCCTTCACAGAGCGCGTCACACGTGAGTTTGAAACAACACGAGAGCGAACAAACCCTCCTCCCGCTCGTCTTCATCAGATGCAAATATCTGCAGCACAAACGGTTCTTTCCCAAACGAGTTCAGTCTCTCCCATCATCTGTTCAGAGCGAGAGGATCTGAAGTTTATCTGCAGCGCCGTTTATTCACTATCTGTGAACAGGGACTGCAGAGATTGGATAAACGGCAGAGGAATGGAGGGAAGTTGTTGACTTTGCTAGAGGACGCAGGAGAAAGAGAGTGAGACAAAGACTAGAGATGTGTTTGCCATTTATTCACTATCTGTGAACAGGGACTGCAGAAATTGGATAAACGGCAGTGGAATGGAGGGAAGTTGTTGACTTTGCTAGAGGATGCAGGAGAAAGAGAGTGAGATAAAGACTAGAGATGTGTTTGACAGCGGTTTGAGGGCAAAATTATCAGGAGAGCAGCTCGCGTTGGAAAGGAGAGGTGAGCTGTGAAGAGGAGCAGAGCTGGATAAAGTCATGACTCCAGTCCAGCTGAACAGCGGTACGGACGCAGCTCTTCATTAACTGCCGGCCTGTTAATTGCTAGTGGCTTTGTGTGAAAATGTGGGCGTGTGTTGACTATTTAGAGGCTCACTCTTTTCAAACGCGCACAAAAATAGTAACACGTTATCCGTTAGCAGACGGAACGGGAATAGTAATGCTTTCGGATTAAACTCATTAAAAAGGTCAAGAAAACATTTATATAAAGATTTGATTTGGGGGTTAATATGACCTGCAAAATAAGTATATATACACCATACATAAACCTAAATTATGCATTTATATACAGGTGCATCTCAATAAATTAGAATGTCGTGGAAAAGTTCATTTATTTCAGTAATTCAACTCAAATTGTGAAACTCGTGTATTAAATAAATTCAATGCACACAGACTGAAGTAGTTTAAGTCTTTGGTTCTTTTAATTGTGATGATTTTGCCTCACATTTAACAAAAACCCACCAATACATAATTATATAAAAAAGCACACATACATTTTAAAATGCATATAATTAATTATAATTATATAAAACTACATATCTGAATAATATGGTACGGATAATAAAAAATGGTTCATACTGTGATATCCGATTTCTCATAACACCCATCTAAGAAAATATTTAAATCAGAAAATTCATAAAATAAAAAAGTAAATGATCAATTATTTAAAATGTAATAAAAAAAACTGGAATAAAAATATATTTAAAAAATAAATGATGAAAAATAGATTTTATTTTAGATGTTAAAATAAATTACATAGAGAGAGAATTTTATTTAATATTTAAATAAACATTAATTATAATTATACTGAAAAAAAATTATTATTATTCTAAATCATATACATATATTTTCATAATAATAAAATTCATAATTAAATTGTTTTCATACTGCAAATGAAATTTTATTTTTACATTAAAGCATTTCAGGTCACATTTTAACACAAAATTAATTTATATAATATTCTGACCATATTTTTTGTAAGATTCACTCAACTCATGTACCCATCAGCAGACTAATGGAAAATAATAAAGGTTTTTTTCTGAGTGACCCAGAAAAACAATCTTTTGACTTACTCTGAAATATGAATACTTTAATTATCTAATTTCTTTATACCCCCTATTAAACAACATTCAATCCACCCCAAAAATGACTGCGCAGTGCATTAGGCAGCATGAATGTGATTTCTGTGTGAAGTTCAGACAAAGCGCTCTGTTTCTGACTCAATGCTGCAGGAAACGAAGAGAGAGAAAGAAATGACTCACTGTTCGTTGACGATAAAGATGCAGTTGTCTTGCGAAGGAACGGCTGTGACGGGATGCTTGCAGGTCACCTTTCGCTCATTGTGACTGCAGGAGAGAAAAGAAACAGAAATTGTGGGAATTAGAGACATGTGAGACTGCTGTTCACACTTTGACACTCGATAAAGAGCCGTTCGATGATTGAAACGATTGAACGAGCCACGGGATTCCCGTGCTGCCCTGCTGCTAAACATCAGACCATCTGAACAAGACGAGAACATAGAACACGGTCACCAACTGAGAGGAGAAAACCATGGCACGGTCTGCAAACTGTTTCGCATTCATGGTTTTATTGCACAGTCTACACTGGTAGACGCATGCAGGATATTTTCTAGCTGCCACAACAAATATGTAAAACATGTAGGTGTTGTCATGTGTGTATTTGGCTACTATATTACAACAGCACTGAGCATTTTTGGTTTAATTACTTAAGTTAAAAACAAGAAGTAAAATAAACAAACAAACAAAAATCATAATGCGAGTAAAAAGATTGAACAAAAAACTAACCCTTTTACTAAAAACAGAAATAAACAATAAAATGATTGAAATTAAAATAAATTATCTATAAAATAAGTAAATATTAATATAATTGAATAAGAACAAATAAATTATATATACACATATGTATATACACACACACACACACACACACACACACACACACACATATATATATATTATTTTATATAATTATATAAAAAAGCACACATACATTTTAAAATGCATATAATTAATTATAATTATATAAAACTACATATCTGAATAATATGGTACGGATAATAAAAAATGGTTCATACTGTGATATCCGATTTCTCATAACACCCATCTAAGAAAATATTTAAATCAGAAAATTCATAAAATAAAAAAGTAAATGATCAATTATTTAAAATGTAATAAAAAAAACTGGAATAAAAATATATTTAAAAAATAAATTATGAAAAATAGATTTTATTTTAGATGTTAAAATAAATTACATACAGAGAGAGAATTTTATTTAATATTTAAATAAACATTAATTATAATTATACTGAAAAAAAATAATTATAATTCTAAACCATATACATATATTTTCATAATAATACAATTCATAATTAAATTGTTTTCATACTGCAAATGAAATTTTATTTTTACATTAAAGCATTTCAGGTCACATTTTAACAAAATTAATTTATATAATATTCTGACCATATTTTTTGTAAGATTCACTCAACTCATGTGCCCATCAGCAGACTAATGGAAAATAATAAAGGTTTTTTTCTGAGTGACCCAGAAAAACAATCTTTTGACTTACTCTGAAATATGAATACTTTAATTATCTAATTTCTTTATACCCCCTATTAAACAACATTCAATCCACCCCAAAAATGACTGCGCAGTGCATTAGGCAGCATGAATGTGATTTCTGTGTGAAGTTCAGACAAAGCGCTCTGTTTCTGACTCAGTGCTGCAGGAAACGAAGAGAGAGAAAGAAATGACTCACTGTTCGTTGACGACAAAGATGCAGTTGTCTTGCGAAGGAACGGCTGTGACGGGATGCTTGCAGGTCACCTTTCGCTCATTGTGACTGCAGGAGAGAAAAGAAACAGAAATTGTGGGAATTAGAGACATGTGAGACTGCTGTTCACACTTTGACACTCGATAAAGAGCCGTTCGATGATTGAAACGATTGAACGAGCCACTGGATTCACGTGCTGCCCTGCTGCTAAACATCAGACCATCTGAACAAGACGAGAACATAGAACACGGTCACCAACTTAGAGGAGAAGACCATGGCACGGTCTGCAAACTGTTTCACATTCACGGTTTTATTGCACAGTCTACACTGGTAGACGCATGCAGGATATTTTCTAGCTGCCACAACAAATATGTAAAACATGTAGAATTTAACTGAGGTGTTGTCATGTGTGTATTTGGCTACTATATTACAACAGCACTGAGCATTTTTGGTTTATGTATACAATTATAAAAAGAAATTATAAAAAAAGTTATCTTAGATATCAAAATAAATTATACTGAGAAAGAGAATTATATAAATAATAACTATAATTATGTTAAAATAAATACTTATAATTCCAATATGCATATATTTATAATAACAAATATATAAAGTAATGATAATAATGTGAAAATAATAAATGATATTAAAAAGTTAATTAATAATGATAATTACTTAAAGCCCACCCCAATTTCTTTAAAACAAACAAACAATTAAATAAATAAAATATACAATAAAATCATTTATTAAAAACAGGTTATTATTTATAAACACACACACACTTATATCTAAACTCATTTGACCATAATGGTCTGTGTGTATTTGGCTACTATATTACAACAGCACTGAGCATTTTTGGTTTATGTACTTAAGTTAAAAACAAGAAGTAAAATAAACAAGAGACTGGTTTGAGTCTGATTTCGCAACAGGACAGAGCCAAACATGATGTAACCCAGATGAAAACTCAACAGATGACATCTACCCAGCAGCGAATACACACACACTCACAGCTACACACCTTGAGCGAGGGGTGGTGCAGAATTTCAACATGTCTGTCTCTCTGTCTGTCAGTCTGTCTGTGTCTCTCCAGGGGCCGCCGGTCTCTCTCTCTACTCTTGCTGTTTATCACTGATCCACACATGCAGTCAGTGCTGCTGCTCTCAGCAGTCATACGCCCCGACCACAAGAGCATACGCCCACCCTCTCCCCGTCTCTCCTCTCCACCCTCGTCCTCTCTGCCATGAGGCGCCGACGTCTCAATAAACACAATTACAGCGGCAGTCACACGCAGACGCAGCCGTGAGAGGACAGAGGAGGCCGTTCACAGCAGATAAAGGCCTCTCGCTCACATGGAGAGTCACAGGGCTGCTGGGTAACATGTTGGCGGACTGAGGCATGCTGGTCAGGACGTGGTTCGAGGCGAACTGATCAAGCTAGTTACATAAATATTATATATTATAATTCAAATATATTATAAATCTAACGTGTATATATATATATATATATATATTTATTTCAATGTCAATATATAACGACATTAAATTATTTATTTAGAATATTTTGTTTTTTGTGTGTGTATATATATATATATATATATATATATATAGTTTATTTATATTTTACAATAACATAATAGTATAGCATAGTAGTATTGATAGTTTTTTTTTTCGTTGGTTTGTGCTCTCAAACCTATGGAAGCTTGTTTCCGTCACTAATTAAAAAAATAAAAAGGTAATTGAAACTTTGCATCTTACAACTCTTGACTTTTTTTTCTCAGAATGGCATGATATAAACACAATTGTGTGTTATAAAGTCAGATTGCGAGATATCTTGCAATTCTGACTTTAAAACATGCAATTGTGAGTTAAGAAGTCAGAACTGTGCAATATAAAGTTGTAAGAAAATATATATATTTTTTGATTTTATAACTCACAGTTGCAAGTTTATATCTCAATTAAAAAAGTCAGAATTGCGAGATATAAACTCGCAATTGTGAGAAAGTCAGAATTGCAAGAAATATAATTGTGATAAAGAAAAAAAGTCAGAATTTCAAGATATAAACTCGCAATTAAGAGAAAGAAGTTAGAATTGCAAGATATACTGTCGCTCTCAAACCTATGGAAGCTTGTTTCCATCACTAATTAAAAAAATAAAAAGGTAATTGAAACTTTATATCTTACAACTCTGACTTTTTTTTCTCAGAATGGCATGATATAAACACAATTGTGTGTTATAAAGTCAGATTGTGAGATATCTTGCAATTCTGACTTTAAAACAAGAAATTGTGAGTTAAGAAGTCAGAACTGTGCAATATAAAGTTGTAAGAAAATATATATTTTTTTTGATTTTATAACTCACAGTTGCAAGTTTATATCTCAATTAAAAAAGTCAGAAGGGTTTTTTTTTTTTTTAATTTAGGATGAAGTAGCGTCGAAAGAGGTGAGTTTTCAGCTGTCGCTTGAAAATTGTCAGGGCTCACAGTTGCAAGTTTATATCTCAATTAAAAAAGTCAGAATTGCGAGATATAAACTCGCAATTGTGAGAAAGTCAGAATTGCAAGAAATATAATTGTGATAAAGAAAAAAAGTCAGAATTTCAAGATATAAACTCGCAATTAAGAGAAAGAAGTTAGAATTGCAAGATATACTGTAAACCTTTTAGTTTGTCTCGCAATTCTTTAATTTTTGCAATTTCGAGTTTATATCACGCATTTCTGAGAATAAGAGTCAGTTGCGAAATGTAAACTTGCAACTGCGATGAAAAAAGTCCGAATTGTGAGAAATAAACTAAGAGGAGAAAGTCAGAAATGCAAATCATAAACTCGCTTCAATAATAAAGTTTGTCTCACAATTCTGACTTTATTTCTCACAATTCCGAGTTTATAGCATGCATTTACATTTACATTTAGTCATTTTGCAGACGCTTTTATCCAAAGCTTGATGCGAGCCGCAACCGGCAGCCAGTGCAAGGAGATAAAGAGAGGTGTAACATGGGCTGAAACCTGACTGGTTAGCGTCAAGTTTGTTGTTCTGTGAAAGAAACTGATACCTGATTGAAAACAACTCGTTTGAGGGTTTTCGCTATGAATGGAAGGAGAGAGACAGGTCTGTAGCTATCTGTAAGTGAAGTGTTTAATGTAGGTTTTTTTGAGCAGTGGGGTTACCCGAGCCTGCTTGAATGCAGTGAGGAAAGTGCCTGTGAGGAGAGATGTGTTGAGGATGTGTGCGAGTGCTGGTAATAGTGTAGGAGAGATTGCTTGGAGAAGGTGTGAGGGAATAGGGTCTAGAGGGCATGCTGTAGGATGGCTGGAGAGGAGAAGTTTTGATACTTCTGTCTCAGTGAGGGGACAGAAGGAGAAGATGGGAGTTTTAGCAGTGGGTGTGGTTGGTTTGAGGTCCTGTGTGTGAGGCTGAGAATTGACTACTGATTGTTATATGATTGTATCTGTGAAGGATGTTGCAAATGT